CTGGAGGGGTGTGAAGGTGGGTGTGCAGGCAGGGGTGTCCAGGGCTGTCCTTGAGAGCAGGGTGCCTGCAGCCCAGGGGTCTGTGTGTTGGGGCAGGGACTCTGCCAGATACCAAGGTCAGCTCTCAGCCTGCCTGCGGAGCTCCCCAAGGCTGTACGCAGAGAAGCTGGGGATGGAAAAACAAAATCCTGGTAGGAGAGGTTCTTTCTACTGTCAGGGGAGTGCTGTGTGGGGATTTGTTGCTTACAGCTTCTGATCATCCCAACACATTTTTGAGAGGACTTTTCAGGGGGAAAGTCCCAGTAAGGATTGCTGTAAAGACTATTTTCAGTTTCCTATTCTTTGGGAATCTGGGTGGAGAAATTGAAAAGAAGTTCCCATGCTTGAACCACTCAATGGGACTCTTGAGCTGTAACTCTGAGTGACCAGGAGTTCTGAGAACAGCCTCCTGAAGTGCCTTTAGCCACTCCTCTGCCTATGGACAGCACTAGCATTACCCATCTGGGTTGCTCCAACATGCCCTTTTCCACCTGCAAACAGGAACATGTGTCCAGCCAGTGCCCTCCAAACAAGCAGGTTTCTGTAGGGCCAAAGCGAGTGCTCAGAGGTTGGGATGGGGTTTGCTAGTGCTGACAGAGAAAAGACATGGCACAGGGAAACTCCTCTCAGGAGGAAAATCTCCAGGCAACAGGGATATGGTCTCGGAATGAAAGGAAACTAAACCCAGAAATGCTGTGGGAGGGAGAATTCAGGTAACTCTGTATGATCCCCTCCATCGCAGACCCCTTCCTCTGAGCAAGCCCCTTGCCTCCTCTCCAACTCAGCAAAGTCTCTGCCCTCAGCGCTATGGGCTTCAAGGTGGGATCCACCTCCTCTGCAGCCATAGCTCCAGCAGAGCCATGGTGCAGCTCTCCAGCCACGTGCCCAATTAATTCCTTCTGCCGAGCACAGGGGCTGAGATCAGCTGCCCAGCAATGTTGGCGTCTGGGAGGTGGCGGGTACAGCTGGGTAAGGGGAATGCTGTCCTGAGTGCCTGGCTGCCTCTGCCCTTGCCTCTCTCATCCTGAGACAGACACTCATTCTGTTTTAGCTTGTCTCTTCGCTTGCCTGTGTGACTGGGATCTTGTTCTTGCTGTCAGGCTCCCTGGGGATGGGAGTTTGAGCTGGAGAGTCACACAGTGATCTTCTGGGTCCTCCCATGCAGGTGCAGCCATGGAAACAAGTGTCCCAGCTTTCCCTTACCCTTTGGAGCTGTGGGCAATGTAGTCTGTAGAGCTGGGAAATGAGCTGAATCTCCCTTCATCAAATGCCATCACTTGGACACTTGTCCTAATACCCTCCCTCTGAGAAAGGTACAAGCCCAGGGCAGCTGGGAACAAGACAGATGGACAGACCAGCTCCCCTCACTCTACTCCAAGCCACAGGCAATTCTCTTGCCTTGCAATGCTCATGCTGTTCTGCCTGAGTGTGGCAGCAAGTGCTGAGAGTTTTGCAGATGCAAGAACATTCCCCAGGGTGGGAGGGGAGGGGGAGCTGTAAATATCCCAAACCTCTCAAAGTGCCTTTTGCCAGCCTTGTTCTTTAGAACAGAGAGTGCAGTTGCTGACAGGCCCTTCTGTTTTCAGAGCGGTTTCATCTGCCAAAGTCCAGCACGGGCCCCTGCCACCACCATTCCTGTGAACCCACTGCTGCAGAGCAGGGCTGTCTCCTCGGCAGCCAACAGGCAGAGGCCCTGCTCCTCACAGCACACTCAGCCACCATCAACCAGAGCTCCAGCCATGCAGATGATGGAAAGTCTAGAAAAAGGAAAGTGTGTGCACAGCAGGGGAGCAGTGTATGAGAAATGCATCATTTATTTCTTTATTAATCTTCTCTAACTTATCCCTGTGTATTCCTTTTTGGATAGTGCCAGTGCCAAAAGGAACAAAATGTCCAACAGCAGCTCCACCACCTATTTCCTCCTGCTTGCATTTGCAGACTCACGGGAGCTGCAGCTCTTGTACTTCTGGATCTTCCTGGGCATCTACCTGGCTTCCCTCCTGGGCAATGGCCTCATCATCACCACCATAGCCTGTGACCACCACCTCCACACCCCCATGTACTTCTTCCTGCTCAACCTCTCTGTTCTCGATCTGGGCTCCATCTCCACCAGTCTTCCCAAAACCATGGCCAACACTCTGTGGAACACCAGGGCCATTTCCCATGCAGGATGTGCTGCCCAAATATTTTTATTTGCTGCCTTGGTTGGAGCAGAAATTTCTCTTCTCACCATCATGGCCTATGACCGCTATGTGGCCATCTGCAAACCCCTGCACTATGGGACCCTCCTGGGCAGCAGAGCTTGTGTCCACATGGCAGCAGCTGCCTGGGCGAGTGGGTTTCTCAACTCTCTCCTTCACACGGCCAATACATTTTCCCTACCACTCTGCCAAGGAAATACTGTGAACCAGTTCTTCTGTGAAGTTCCCCAGATCCT